GTCCTAGCCGCTGTACCTGTAAAGTAATGCCTTCTGATGTCCAGCCTGAACCTGCTCTCTATCAACTTGTAGCCGTTATTCCTAGTTACCTTGGGTGGTGCCCGGGGGAACAGGACATCTCCTATTCCCTGCTGATCCCCACCCTGGTGAATTTGTAGACAGCCACCAGATCCCTCTCAGCCTTCTCTTGTGGAGGCTGAATAGGTTCAGGCCCTCTAGTCTCTCCTTGTATGGCCTGCCCTGCTGCCCCCAGATCAATGTGAAAGGTTAATTCTGGGGGTCTGACATGAGCTCTATGTATGTATGTGTGAGGCATGGGGTCTTTTCTGCAGGTTATTCAGACTAGCTTAGGTGTTTATTGCAATCTTATAATGTGTTTAGGAAGAGTCCCTAATTATTCTTATGTTCACATGGGCTAAATATAACTTTAGGTTACCCACCAAGGTAAGCAGAACTCCTTTAATAAAGGCCATATTTTTCTGGGTTTCTCCATATGGATGGGGCATTTCTCAGGATATTAAAAACGTGTGAAGTTTGTATTTATGTTTGGGGACCACTTTAGCCAGTGTACTGGGAAAGGAATGCAGTGGCTGTCTAGTAGGTAGGAGTCTGAAATCTCTTGATCTGGTTACATTTACTTTCTCATTCCCTCTTGATGAGTTCTGCATCAGGAGTGCTTAGTGTAACCCTATAAGACAGGACTAGGAGTGAACAACCTTATGCCCTTTATATAGAGACCTTATAGTGGTGTCTGCATACCTCATAGATAATTCCAGTAGCAAAAAGAGGTACTTGCAATACCAGGTGGGTAGAATTGGTAGTCACAAGGTACCCACTGGAGAGCACAGTGTGCTGATTCAGAAGTTTACTGCCAACATATAGATTCCAATATTGGTGCAGACCAAAAATGGGAATTGCTAAATACAAGTTATTTTTATCACAGTCACCAACTGCTTCTGGTAGTTCTGTGGCAAAAAGATAGGACTTAAGTTAAACAGAGATTTAACAAAGATGTTTAGTTTGATGTTTATTCTTACCATGGGTAACTTTTTCACTCTGACACTATAGAAATGTAGTTACCCAGTTGTTTACATAGTCATGTCCTTTGTAGTGTACAAGTGACTGCATTTACAACATAGACAGAAGACTGAGACATCAGGAGTCTTAAATCATTAGAAAATGCCTGCTTAACTATTTCAGGCAAACCTTGCAACCCTGGCAAGACAAGATGTGCTGTTTTTTGTGTCAGCCTTATTTGAACTCAGCCCAATACGCATTGTCTAACTTGGAACAGGACAGCGAGGACTATGTATAACTCCTGGGGCATCCTAGGACTTGGAAAGTTGAGAAAACACAATGTACAACTCCAAAACAGCTCTCACTAACAAACTAAATTTGTGCCTCGTTAAGCCTGAGTAGATGACTATCTACTTAGAGAAATGTTGTTTCTGGAACTTACAGAAACTTGTCTGGACCAGCTGTTTTAACCTGGATTTAGAAGCAAGGATTTTGGGACAAGCTGAAACTCATAGCAACATTTGAAAGTTTTTTTCCAGTAGATGCAGCAATCAAGTTTTTGAGGCATCTTGTTCATTGGGTTAGCTAGCCAGTTCTTTTCAGACACTCAGTTTTATTGCCTGTAGTCTTGCCAGGATGCAGAAGAGTTGCCATGAGAAAAGCAGCAAACTAGCTATATTTGCCAATAATGAGCTATTAAAGAGTAGGGCTTTTTCAAAAGCATTTGTGCTTAGCTTAAGTTGGTTCCCACTGAAGTAAATGAAAATCCTACCCTTCCAATATTAGTGCAGTTTAGTTAGTCATACAGGAAAGCTTACCAATATCAGCAACAACACATTCTACTTCTGCTGAATGGTAATATGGTTTCATTTCAGGGCCCACATTTAGAGTATAGTTAACACGGAGAGTATATTTTGTTTCATTTCTGTTCACATACTGAAAGAGATGATAAGAAATAGTGAAGATTCTGCAGCATTTTGCTTCCAGCATGACTGGGAACGTATATTGTTCATAGCACTAGGCAATTTCTCTCTCTCTCTGCACACCTCCCCCATCCACCCCCCAAACATACAGTGTAGTCGCCAAAGATACAGTTGTAATTGGCCTCAACCTGTTCAGGATGTAGCAGCTAGTTTGGGTGAAATAAAAAAAAAAAAGAGACTCCTTCATTTAATCAAAGAGTTGGTGCTGGCACCCCCATATTCTCTAGAGCCAAGTGGTTAGGGCACTCTTGGAAGGTAAAGAGTCCCCATTTCTAAAACTTGCTTTACCTGATCCTAGTTTTGCACCTAAGAAGAGTCCCTTACCCACTGGGCTATAAGGGAGATGAAGCCGTCTCCTCTTTGTCGTTCTGGTCTTTGGATTTGGGACATTTTAATAAAAGCAAAAGTGATAGCTTCTGAAATGGATTTTCAATTTGCCAAAAACCTGCCCTTAATGGTTTTCTTATTAGAAAGTGCTTTACTATCTAAGAAAAGTACCTTACCTATCTAAGCTCATATCACTTACAAACTGTATGCTGCAAGTATTCTTAATTTGCAAAGCTTTATCATTTACTAGGAGTCTGCATCTGCCTCTATCCACTTGCTTTGTGTGCTGCCCAAGTCACAGTCTGAACTGTACTGTGTAAAAAAGGAGGTTTAGCAGTGGCTGAACGTGTGAGATAGCTGTATTGCAATAGGTGATCACACTTAGTTTTTCCAAGGTAGTCAGCTCTGTCCCAAGAGGCAGCAGTTTAGAGATTGGGTAAGATTTCTCATGTTGAATGATGTACGTGGCAGCCCTATTCATTCTAACAGAAGTATCAGAGGAAAATGCATTCAAAGCCATATTTAAGTTGGGTTTGTCCCAGACTCCTTTACAGGGTGAGCTACATAGATATGATTTTTCTAAAAAGAATATTAATTCGGATCAGGTTTGATGTGCCTTTTTTCAGTGCACAGCTGTTGATTACTAAATGCCAGAAGTATGATTTGAACAAGAGTTGACTTACCATCTGTATTTGCCAATCATGGTTGATGGAGATCTACCATATCTTACCTCCTTTAGAACATTAGGATCATCAAAAGATACTTCTAAATTAAATCCTTTTGTTCCATTGGGAAAAGGAGTTTCATAAACCTTGTACCCATGATACTCAGTCTCTCTTGGGGTAAGTGGCACATTTCCTACTGTGATTGTCATCAGAGAGACATCAGGAAGAAAGGGTCCTAATGCAACTTCAAATATTCTCTTCTCTCGAAGAGTCTCTGTGAGAGAAATAGCATCTAGTTACAGCTAAGGCATGTGTAGCACTGAGGACAATTAGCTTTCTGTTCAAACTCAAAGGAGCTTAGCTAGCAGTCAGCTCTTTAGTATGGGCACACTACATTTCTAGAGGTGCATTATTTTGTATAAAGCCATTCCTGTAATACATTCAGAACTGTATGTTAGACAGTTGGAGTACAGAATAGTGCAATACTACTACAGACTAGACTTAGAGCCTCAGATTCTCCCCTTCCCCCCGAAACGAGTTATCTAGAAAACTAAGATGATGTTTGGCATCTTAACATCTTTACAGATGTTAGAACAGGGATGAGTAAAGTCCAGCCCACAGGCTGGATCTGGTCAGCAGCTGGACTCCATTTCCCAGCAGCCCCTGCCCACACGACTGGGGGGGGGGTTTCCAGGGAGACCCCAGCCACAGCTGCACATGAAAATTCACGTTTGGGGTTACCATGAAGCCGTGTTGGCAGGGTGTGTGGCACAGCAGGGCAGGGGGCTGCTCCGGAGCTGCTGGGTTCTTGCAATGCGGGCAGCTTGCTCCAGAGCTAGGGCAGAGCCCTGATCTGTAGCCTGCATGCTCCAGGCAGGGGCACACAGGCAGTTGATCATGGCTCTGTCCCAGCTCTGTCCAGTGGTGACAGCCTGGTCTGGAGCTGGAGCAGAGAGCCGTGATCCCCTGCCTCCACACCCCTGTCTGGAGCATGCAGGCTACAGATTGTGGCTCTGCCCAGGCTCTGGAGCAAGCTGCCCCCATTGCAAGATCCCAGCGGCTCTGGGGCAGCTCATTGCCCTGATCTGCTGCCTGCCTTGCCAGGGTGGCTGGGGCTGGTCTCCATGGCACCCCCAATCTTGAGCTTTCACATGCAGCTGCGGCTGGGTTTTCCAAGGAGACCGGCCCCACTTATGTGGGCAGGGGCTGCTGGGAAATGGAGTCTGGCTGCTGGCCAGATTTTGCCTACCCCTGTGTTAGAAGACATAAGCTATTGTAACAGTGAATGACAAACTACGTTCACTACATTCCTGCAGTAATGACAGTAGGCTTAAGGTGAAGCTGATGATAGACATCCTTCTTCTGACACTTTCTCCACAGTCTGCTAATCACACTTCAAATGATCCTTCTTGTAGGTCCCTGTCTAACTGATCAGTGGAGGAATTTTATTAGTTAGAGCAAAATCATCTCTTATGTTCTAATACCTAGTGCTTTTCTACTCTGCTTCATATTTGTGACATC